AAATAATTACGACAGACAGGAAAGGTAGCATCCGGAAAATCTTGGTATCAAACTTCACACAATTGTGTGTGAACACTTTTAATGTACAATATTATTGTTTCCTGAATATTTTGTGTGCACTATTGACATTTATTTCGTTATCGTACGACTATATCAAAAGCACTTGTCTTGTCGTAATTGCCTGTTGATTACGTCACATTACTTGAATAATGAATGGGGTATTAAAAATCCCGTACGTGTTCTTGTCACAGCATTATTGTTATCTACTATTTGTATTATTTCAGCGAGCCTAAAAACTAATCAACATTATGTAAAGTTAAACTTACAAATAATAAAATAATTAAGGTAAAAAACCGGGGGAAGTGACCCGAAAAAACGCAATAAATCAAATATATCTTCAAATGACAGTAAACGAACGTAAGACACTAATTGCGGTTCAATCAAAAAACCAGGCGAACAAAACCAGGTGGATTTAAATACTCGACCGGTCTAGTTAGGTAAACTGCGGGTATTTCGCGCAAATTGTCTCTTGCGTACTTCCTTAAACCAATATTGGATTTTAGAGTACTTTAAGTACATCGTTTGTCAGTAACTTTTTGAATTAAATAAATCTTTTTTTTTTATGTGATAGGAGGCAAACGAGCAGACGGGTCACCTGATGGTAAGTGATTACCGTCGCCCATAGACACCCGCAGACCCAGGGGCGTTACAGGTGCGTTGCCGGCCTTTAAGGTAAAGATACGCTCTCCTCTTGAAAGCTTGCAGGTCGTATCCGTCCGGAAACACCGCAGACGACAGTCCATTCCACAGTTTGGTTGTACGGGTAAATCGGTTCAGAAATCTCGGAATAAAGAAAAAAAAATACCAACTGTATTGAGAACCTCCTCCTTTTGTTGAAGTCGGTTAAAAAGAGTTTAGTCTTGAATCTGAGTTGAACCAAAAGGTTTTGACGAATGTTGTTTTTAAGAAAAGTTTAACCAATACTATTTAAACTAGATCTATAAAGATAAGTAACATGATTATGACCTATGTTTTCAAAAAATAAGCGTCGTGAATAAAATTCGCGTGTCTACAAAGTGATTTATAATAAGTTCTGATTAAATAAGACCTTGCTGAAAAACTTGTTTTAGCAGGCGAGATTATTGCACTTTAAATTATAACAAATTAGGGGACCTGTTTAAGCAAAGTTGTCCTTTACAGCCTTAATTAGGTTTCCGCTTGACCAAACTACGCGTTCGTGAGTCAGACGTTGCGAAATCTAATCGTCTACAAATACTATCTATTCGAACAAGTATTGAATGAACTTAAAACCCACTTAGCATTTGGTTTTAACTACATGAAACTATAGTATACTAAAGTAGTTATGTTTGCTTAGCATTGGGGGAGGCCTATGTTCAGCAGTGGACGTACTTTGGCTGAAATGATGATGAATTATGTTACGTTTGTTTTAGAGCTCATTTTAAACCAAATTGAAAATTCAAACAGGATTAATATCAAAACAATAACCAAAATATTTAAGGTTGAAAAAGTGGCAGAGGAAGACAACCTAAAAGATGGACAGATAACATCCGGCAACAAGTTGGAATAAACTGGATGCAAGTGGCCGGTGACAGAAGTCTGGAAGGTTGAAGAGGAAGCCTATGTTTGAAGACGAACTCCAAAGGCTGTAGCTAGATAAATAGACGGTTCAAAAAAACTTTCATCATCTAGTTATCGTAAGGACTTTAAAGGGTTATACCCGAACTAGCTGTGTCCGCGACTTCGTACGCGTGAAAACCCGTTTTCGCAACATTTTTTCATTTTTGCTCTGCACCTATTACTCGTAGCGTGATGTTGTATAGCCTATAGCCTTCCTCAATAAATGGACTATCTAACACTGAAAGAATTTTTAAAATCAGACGGGTAGTTCCTGAGATTAGCGCGTTCAAATAAACAAACAAACAAACTCTTCAGCTTTATAATATTAGTATAGATAGCCATGAAGGAAATAAAGTCGCCAAAAGCCTAGCAAACACATTTCGACTGGAACCAGTAGCACATCTGGTTGACCGTACTCAGTCTGTACCTCTAGTAGGAAAAACTTTCGAGTTCGTTTCGTTGCGTATTCAAAGTGTCATCGAAAAATTTTGTATGAAAAATTAAACAGCGCCCCCTAGGGCGGCTATAATATAGGGGGCGCTGTTTAATTTTTCATACAAAATTTTTCGATGACACTTTGAATACGCAACGAAACGAACTCGAAAGTTTTTCCTACTAGAGGTACTGAACTCGCTGAGTGAGTCATTTCGTAATGTTTGTATCGTTTCCGCCGGCGCAAATTGGTTTACTAAAACACCACAAAAACGTGAATTTAGTATTAAGCTGTCGTATTCTAATTTAAATGCTTTTAGTAGGTACTATTATTAGTACAATACTATTATTAGTTAGATAAAACCTGTCCATAGACAATGCTAGTAGGTCATTCAGTCTTCATACTGATTTCAACTGATTGTCTGAAACGAATATTAAGTACTTATAGTCTTTTTCACCTAAGATGATCCGTATGACGTTTCGAGTTTGAAAGATTTAGAGATGTCACATAACTAAACCATAGCGATTTATCTATCGATTTTTTTCGAAGAGTTAGTAAAACCTACTTTTAGAGAAATATTTTGTATAGGTGTTATTTAACAAAAAACATGTTTTTTACAATTACAAATATTATTGTAACAATTTTTTATTGATAATATTCAAATTTCATGGTTCATGTTCAAAAAAACGATTCCTAAAAAGTACTGGTTCTGTTTCTTTAAATTAAAAACCATTAATTTATTTTTAATGCGTTTATTAAAGTCAATAATCGAAAAATATAGTTGATTTTTGTGATGTTTTTAATAACTAAGTATTCACTGCAATCGATTAATGAACCGCGGAAATAATCGATTTTATTATACAAGAAATACCCCAGCACTAAATCTATTCCGTTTCACACATTACGTACATGAAATAAATGATATTTTTACATCGTATTTAATTAAAATATAATCAATAGACTCAGATTTTACTATATAATTCAAGTCAAGGTAGTTATTTTTTTTATTATATTGCTAATAAAATACAAATATTTTTTCAAAAATATTCTGCATATGTAGTATGCGTAATATGGATAACCTTGAAGTGTCATACGGATCATCTTACGTGAAAAAGACTATAGGTATTATACGATCATGGAGGCACGGACAATATGCTTTTCAATGAAAACTACCAATATCACAATCAAATAAGCCATATTTATTTATTTTTACATGAATTAAAAAGTTTAAATCATAAATTCGATTTCGTAACGCGTTGATGTCTTTTGTACTGAGGATCACACTCGCGTTAAAAATATAAAATTTAAGCAAGATAACTATTGCTGATAAGAAAATCACTACACGAACACCTTCCTGATTCAATGAACATACATATGTGTGTATAGTAATTTAAAAGTATGTAGTTCCAAATTCCTACAATTTTTCAAAACAACTAACCAAAACTTTGTATTAAAAAAATAATTGTTTGTAATTCATATTTTGAATGTTATTGTTTTTTGATGATGAATTGATGAAATATTTGGATTAGATAGATCAGTAGGTACACCCGGCAAGCGAATCGGCATGGGTTCAATTCCGATCGCAATTGATTTTTTCACGTTTTAGTTATTAAATTGAACAAATTTAATAACTAATACGAATCAAGAATAATAACTATTAATAACCACATAACAAAGCTAAATAACGTTTGAACCTATATCTTGACAGAATGAACGATCATGTATGAAATGCTCTATATACTAAGCACGCGAATAAACAATACATATCTATAAGTAGGATTAAGTAATATTACCTAAACCGGTGTCATTAAACTGAAGTTTCAACATTTCGAAGAATTGGACCACAAAGCCTTGTGGATGAACAAAAGAATTGGGTTCCATACAAATGTGAGCGTATGCAAAAAAAGTATGAATACTCTTATTAAATTATTGCAAGTTAGAACTGGGTTTATGCACATCTTTGTTATTTGAGATCGTTTTAAAAGTTTTCAGTCTGTTTCGAAGACGATAAGGCTGGGTTGCACAATCTTAATTTAACTTTGACAAACGTCAAAAATCTGTCAAACTCCATACAAAAAGCACCGGTTATCGTCATAGTTGCTATCAATGTTAGGTGGTGCAACTCGGCCTAACTCTTTCTGAATATCAATGAGAGAGAAGTCAGTTAAATTATCGCGCAGATATTTTTATGGGGCAAAGAATAATCATTATAATAACTTGTGTCAAAGAGATGAGTACTTTAGGCGATCAGTAATAACTGATAATAGGCACACCACAGGCAGAAGATTTCAGACCCTGAAGGGTTTGTTTAGAACTTACTTAATATCGCAATATTTTGGAACGGGTCACTTTTATTGTTCATAACGAATTGAATGCTGAAAACAGTTACAATTGAAATAGGTTAACACTATCGTGATCACTGAACGTGATGAAATTATGATTTATTATTGATACTAATGTTTTAAACACTTAAACAACGTTTACGAAAACTAATTACATAGTTATGATCGCAGGACGCAATTATTTGCCCACATCCGACCCGTATCTGTTTTATTCAAAGGATGTTAGATTTCAGCTTAAATTATTTTAGACGTTACGTATAATTAGTTGTTATAAACAATCGATTGTTTTGATTGCGCTAGAATTTATTATTATTACACTCTTTTGCCTTAAACAATAGAAAAACGAGGTTAACTTACGCCTAATATTGGATGTAACGAATTACTTAACGGGTTACTCATAATGCAAAGAACACACGTGGTGGAACCGTACGAAAGTGCGAATTCGAAAAAGAAAATAAAAAATTCGAGTTTAGAACGCGCGGCGCGTCTGTCTCCCGCTCGACGTCCGAACAAATACGAAGGACTCGCGTATAAGAAACAAAACACCGCGCATATTCCATTACTAGGGGGGCATGGCGAAAGTGCTACCAAATAACCACCTATATAAACTCACAACCGCAATCGAATTTATCCAGTACCATTCCTGGCTCCAACCACCGTACAGGAGGCATAATGAAATTAACGGTGAGTGCAGTGAAGTGATGTGAAGACTAAGTGAAGTGCGAGTGATGACTTCAAAAAAGTGCGCAATCGTCCCGTGTGTCCCGTGCATAAGTGGAGTGTTTTAGTGATCTTTGATAATCGACACACTTTTTTGAAGTCAACGCTTTGCAGTTCTCACTAGTGGGAAGTAATGGATGGTGGACAAAGAAATAGAACGGACCCAAATTGAATGAACCGAAATAGAACGCTGAATCATTAGACATTTATTACGATAACAGATATTAAATAATAAGGCAACTATATTAATTTCAGCTCACGTACAGCTTAAACAAACAATGATTCGCTTCAATGATTATTATGAAGAATTAATCACTAACATAATTGTTGAATGCAAAAGTGTAACTGATTAAATACACAGATAAAATTTTATAGAGTGATTTAATGATAGTTCATCAAAAATGTCTTGATTTATTAGACAGTTTAATAATCAATTTAAAGCGCTACTGCCTTTCAGATATAAAAAATCCTTTGTTTCATGAATGAATCTATAGCAAGATATAACAAAAAATCATAGTAATTATTATTATTTTTACGCTTAAAAGCTCCTTCTGGTGAAGCATCATTTAGCTTGTAGTAGCTTTAAAAATTGAATGAAGTGAATTGAATCTATCTTTATTAACGGTTCAGTTCCGGACTTTAAAAATAGTTATGATTTTCTTGTTCAGTTTATCCATTATAACTTTGCCAACCCTATATTATTAGATAAAGTTATACCAAGTTGAATTAATTTAAAAGGACAGTCACGTAACCGCAATGTTGTCCTTTACGCTACTCGACGTATGAACAAAACCGAGTTAATTCAATAACGGAATCTAAACCTGTTGAACTACTAGGCTGAGCCTTCCCTGGCATATTGCGTCACAATGCCATTTCACTCTCGGCCAAGACGAGTTTCAGTCTAGACCAGGCCAGGCAGGTCTAGGAAGAGATCCAGGAAACCTAGCATTCGTTAACATAACCCGTAACCACCGGTCTGTTATGAAATTGCGTATCTTTAAGTACAATCGTTAAGACTTAACAAGCTAATGATATAGGTCGATATTGGTAGAGATTTAGTAGAATTAGTTATTCGCATAAAGAAATGCATTTGTAATTCCCATCTATTCAAACTCACTCTTATAATAATAATGATAGATGTTGCTTCGCATGAAAATTCCAAACTGAATTTAGGTACTACGAGTCCCAACAAAATAATTTTTAAACAAGGACCCCCAGCCGGTTAAAGTACTTTTCACGAGCTTCCAAAACGTTGTTTTTTCATAGAGTTTGTGTAGAAATACGCACATCTATTTATATACAGATAGCAATATATAAAAATGAGCCAGAATTTAATATGTTTACTGAATTGTACAGAGTTCGGTAACTTATTGAACAAAGAAACAAAAACTAAGTGTTTACCACGAGCATACCTCACATCATACATTCAAACCGTGTTACGCGACAAACGATTTATTAGTTAGCATTTTCTTGTATTGCCTTAAAAGTCTAGAACAGACTCTAATACCATCTCGCTGGAAAAATGCGGAGTTTTCTAGAGAATTTAACGTAGGAATGTTGTTTGCGCTAACTCTATAAACTTGTCGACCCTTATTTTATAAAGAATGTTATTATTACCGTTTTATGTCTTATTTATGATCTGTTATTATGTTTTAATAACATAATTATCCACTGATATGGTGGATAATTCAAAGACAATGCGGATAAAACTGACATCTTATGATGAATTACTTCACGTCAATAGACTCCATTTCAATCTTACGTTGAGTCTCAATCACCACCATAAAACGATTATAATCAAAATTTCATCAGTCCATGGAGTCGTTTCCTGCGCTTATAAACAAATCGGGCCGCGGTGTGGTAAGTAGCCGTTGCGACAGACGCCATGAGGGCGCTATCCCACGCCGGCTCGCTTCTGATTAGTATCAGTCGGGGTCAGGCTATGAGAATGCGTTGCGTGTTCGCAAGTTTTTACACTAAATGTAGAGTAGGTTCTAAATGCCCTATACAAGCGTGTTTTGCTGGAACGAGCGTAATCTAGATGTAGGTTAAAGGTTATATTTGCATTCACCTCTACGTGCACTGACTATGAATCCATAATTTTTCTAAAGCAGTGAAGTATTGGGTACCTAAATGTAAAATCTATTCAAAAAACTTGCGGTAAAAGCCAATCATATATCTCAGTGTATTACTGTTTATAAAGTTATAAAGCTGTGCCTACGCCGAATAGATGCTCATAAACGCTATATTTACATATTGCACACGCATAATCCTGATGTCACCTTTAACCGTACGTTGCATTATAAACAATTTTCACTGGTTACTCCGACCTCATAAAATTCTTATCGTGAATAACTTTATAATCTGTATCGATGACTCGGTTATTTAATACGGTTACATACTGTTATGCGTTTGTTACTTTTAATTAGAACTGCTATTTTTCAACTTAGATCGAATTAACTTGTTTTAAAAATTATTACGTCATATCAACATGTGTTTGATTGCAATTAGTTGAATTTTAAAAATAACTAAGGAGTGTATCTGTACTGAGCCGAGTCAAAGATTAAATTAATGGTAAAATTACGTTTATTTTCACTTATTGCGAAATACTCGTAAAAATGGTCGTTAAAAACGCATTACTTTTCTCAATGAAACAGATAATGTTGATGATCACGGCGTTGGTGTAATCATGAAATCACATTACTTATGCTTAAGAGTGTTTATATCCCGAACTTACAGAACAAATTCGAAGAAAAACAAATTGAATCTTCGAATGAATGTTTCTTTCGTTAATATTGAAGAATTCTGTTGACATTTTTCTGATTGACCTTCATTAAACATATAGATGTATTCTTAATGAAATGCAGCATAATTATTTAATTAAAACAACGTCAAATCAAATAAATCCAAGTCAGCGCATCTCTACATTTGCGTAATCCGATATTCATTTGCTATGCAAATCTCAGCTCTAGGCCAAGGTCGTATCGATCGTGACGTAATGAACCGCCATTTTTGAATCCAGGTCCCTCGCGCGGTCTCGTCATTTTTGACGTGTGCGCACGCGCTACTTTTGACGTTACGGTTGTTTAACGTAACTGGCGATAGTAAACAGATGTATATTTGTATTTGTTTGTCGCTAAATTTGCTTTAAGAGAAATCGATTGTATGACGATCTTGTATGTGTAACTCGATCTTAGTAGGTAACTTATTGCAAATCTATGCGTATATTTCCCAACTTGAAATCCTTTTAATGAGCAAGAAATTAATTTGAATAACATAATTTTATGCAACAATTCACTGTGTTGATTTTAATATTATTAATTTGAAGCGCTTGCAACAGTTGGCCTTCAAATTGAAAACTCATCTTTGTAGTGTTGACTTAGTGATTTATACCACTTATACTAAATATTCGATGTTTGTGGGTTCGCATTCTGTAAAGAGCAAATGTTAGTGTGACAATTAGGAATCATGGACGTAACTATCTAGTATCACCATAATACATGCTCAACTTAGTTTAGGACTGTGTGACAGTTGCGTTAAATCAAGTAACACAGATATCGTCTAGAATTTTCTATCTATATGCAAGGCGAAGGCAACCATAGACAGCTATCGTCCATCTGTGCTATTAGCAAGTTACCCCACGGGCGTTGCGCCGAATGCGCTTGCACAAGTGCGATGGACGGACGCAACTCACACATGCTTATTTTGCTGTGCTAATTACGCTTTGACCAAATAATTAGGTAAAACAATAGTTTACACAATCGTGTTCTCTGTGCAGAAGGAAATAAGATCGGTTTTGTAGCGCTTAGAAAGTTTTTGCTTTGTAGAATACCAAAGTTTTCAAAGTCCAGAGTACCAGTCCAAAGCGATACGAGTAAAAACGTCAGTAGTCTAAACATCATTTTCAGCTCTTTTCGCGGCTGTTACACATTCATAACGATGTAAATACGACGATGTAGAAACGAAAACGATGTAATACACTCAAAATTCCTCGTACAACTAACTCCTAGAGATCATCATACATCTATGATGACACTCTTTCGTTGTAAGTTAAGTTTAAAGAACTTCAAACATCAGGTAACTGTAAACAGATACGTCGACATACGAGTAACTTCAGTGATCTGTATATTTTCGCACCGTGACAGTTACGAGTCGATGATCGTTATCCAATACATGGCATAGTATCGAGATAACTATGATCTATGAACAAGTGCAATCATTTGAATGTGATCTCTAAGATTTCCGCGTTTGCATCCATTTTCGTAATCGCGATTGAGAAATGAAAATTATGTTACGATTGCCAATATTTTACATTAAATCGGTTATTCCATTGCTATAAAATCGACTCTATGCGTTACAAGGAAACGAAGCATTTTGAAAAGAAGATAAACTATTCGTACTACATCCATTTATGTAAACTAGCAATAAACATACTACATAAATCAAACTACAGTAGAACACTTCGTATAGTAAAATTCATTAATCAAAATGCACAACACGACTTACGCTAGTATTAAGTCATTGTGAAATACATTGGCAATTAATCGTCTCAATAAAAAACGTTATCAAATTTTACTATTACTACACGAATATTGCAAAACCATGTAACTAAGATCTTCATTGACCACACATGATCTTGTTTATCGTCGGCCCATTGCAAATGTATGATTTCTTAATAAAATCGGGTCTTCTCTGCCTCGTTGCAATCGCAAACCGTAACTAGTCATTGCCTCATTAATATTTATAAAATTAACAAGCTCATCTTCAAAACACAGTCAAATTAGTTACAGTAGGTCCTAGATAAAAAATTTAGGATCAACAAAATACTTTTCTTGTTTTTTCTTTTATTTTTCTTTATGCTAGACAAGGCACCTGGTTTTAAATTACATACAGTCTATTTTATTGTTATTTTATTGAGAACTGACTGACTAGATCTTCTCTGGAATAAAACCAACTCGGTGTAATTTTTTAAAAATAACAAAACCATAAATTATGGAGGTGTATCTAATAGTAAGACCGCTGAGTCTCTTTATACTATGCCAAAAACTAAGAGGTTGTTAGATGATCAATGGGCTATAAGAACATTAGCAGTCCATCTTGTAATCGTTAAGAAATAACATATCGTTAGTCGTTTAACAAACAATTACCGTCGGAAGCACAGATTTGATGAGGTTTACGATTTAGGCTTCAAGCGTGAAGGTTTTATCACTAATAGACACAATGTTTACGTAAAATGTGTGTTTTATCCAATAGAATGAGTGACTAATATGTTTTTCTTTTATTTACAGATCTGCTTAGTTTTCCTGCTGGTAGCAGCGGCTGCTGCCAGCGAGAAGAAGACGACAGAAAAGAAGGCTGAGCCTTTAGACAAGAAACTGGACAAACGTGGTCTCCTGAACCTCGGCTATGGGTACGGCATCAGCGGACTGGACGTGGGCTACATCGGTAGCGGCCACGGCCACGGCGGCGCCTACAACTTCATCGACGAGGGCGCCCTCGCCCACGCGGGATACGGCGTCAACCTTGGCCAACACACCGACGTCACCAGGACCATCACCCTCGTCAAGGGCGTCCCCTACGCCGTCGCCGTCGAAAAACCCGTCCCCTACCCCGTCGAGAAGCCCGTGCCATACCCCGTCAAGGTCCCCGTGCCGCAACCCTACGAGGTCGTCAAACACGTGCCCGTTCACGTGAAGGAGTACGTCAAAGTGCCAGTTCATGTACCCGCCCCCTACCCCGTCGAAAAGAAGGTCCCATACCCCGTCCACGTACCCGTCGACAGGCCCTACCCCGTCAAGGTCTACGTGCCCCAGCCCTACCCCGTCGAGAAACACGTCCCCTACCCCGTCAAGGTGCCAGTGCCCCAGCCCTACCCCGTGGAGAAACACGTGCCATACCCCGTTGAAGTCAAAGTTCCCGTGCCCCAGCCCTACCCTGTAGAGAAGCACGTGCCCTACCCCGTGAAGGTCCCCGTCGACAGGCCCTACCCCGTCCACGTGCCCGCTCCCTACCCCGTCGAGAAGCCAGTGCCTGTCGCTGTCCCCGTTGAGAAGCCGGTCGCTTACCCCGTCCACGTGCCCGTAGACAGGCCTTACCCCGTCCACGTTGAGAAGCCCTACCCCGTGCCCGTTAAGGTGCCAGTGCCAGAGCCCTACCCCGTATACAAGCACGTCCCCTACCCAGTGGAGAAGCCCGTGCCTTACCCCGTCAAGGTGCCCGTCGACAGGCCCTACCCCGTGACCGTTGAGAAGCACGTCCCAGTGGCCGTTGACAGGCCCGTGCCCGTACCAGTCAAAGTCCCCGTCCTGGTCAACGAACACGACCAGTACAGCCACCTGAGCCTCGGAGGCTCCTACTACAGCCACTAGGGTAATTAGTCACTTAGCATTCATCAGAAAATCACATAATTTATAAGCCTAGCCAAGTCTAGCCGGCCGGGACACCAGCAAACAAAATTTTTTCATACTTTTGTACATTTTTATTTATACAAAAATGTCATGTCATGTATGTATGTGCGTACGTGGTACGTAGTGATATAAAAGTTACCATTACATTAGTTTGTAAGTTGATTGTAAAGAGCGAACGATGTGAAAAATAAACAAAAATATTAAAAACATACAATACGTTTTTATTTTTATTTCCCCTTTAAAGTTAATTAAAAATTAGCCTGTAATTAAACTCAAAATTGCAACGATTTCATATCACACGATGCCTATAAAAATTGTAGCTATTTAACTTGATAAAAACTTCGTTTCCAGGAAATTGGTATTTAATATAATATATTATGAAAGCATACCATTTATTTATAATTATATTAACTGTTTAAACAACATTCTTAATTACTTTATATTCTGATTATTTGATTACTTGATTACTGAGTATTTGATTACTTCGATTACACGTAAATATTTTCTACCTCAAAAATAATCTTACATATTAGACTAACATTTATTTTTTATAACGCACATTATTTATTACAATTATCCCGAACGAGTACCAACAACAAATAATTTGTAAACATAAAGTTTAGCATTAACCCCGCGTTTCACCCACAACCTATAATTTAGCCTGACCCCACTGAACCGGGAACCTGGCTTGCGAACCGGTACTGTAACCACCGAACCACCGAGGTAAGTAAGAGCTGGTAAACATACTGCTCAATAACCACAACGGGTGACCTTCACGGCGCTTTGCTATGGCATCGTGTTATACAACGCTTTGATCTGAGCGACGCGACTACGAACTATGTGAACGATAAGTTTTGAAAATAAATCATATAGATTAATATCAAGAATGGATATAAAATAAATGTTACTATATTAAAAAAGTTATAAATAAGTAAAAAAAATAATGGCACAGTTTCTGTTCAATATAAAATATAGTTCTGTCGCTAATGTACCCACAACCTACTGCCTAGCGTGGCGTATAAGGCAAAATCCCCCATGGAGAGGAAAATCCTTGGGGGAGGCCTTTGTCTAGCAGTGGACGTCTTTGGGCTGAAACGAACGAACGAACGAACGAAAATAATATAATGGTAGGACAAGCGATGTTTGAAGCTGCGTATAAGCTTTGTATGTGGGCCGTCCTGTAAAGGGCCTTCATGATATAGAATATCTTTATTGATGTAAAAACACTGTAAACTAATGAAAACTAGTTTAGGATCCAGTATTTGATAAGTCATAAAATGTTAAATAGTATTGATAAGTCATAAAGAATAATAAAATGCGCTTGATAAATATAAAAAAAAAAATAAGTTCGCAGTCACAGTGGTCGCCAGTTAACCTGCGGATTGAACTTTACGTAACCGTGGTTAAGGTTACTGTAAGTAGTTCAACTCGTCTCCGCGATATTGGTTTATGTCGTATGTGTATATATGATGATGAAACTACGGTAGTTTACTGTGAGATTATGTGAAATTTTGTGTGAGATGTATCTTTTTGCATATATTACCATGGTATTGCTATAAATAAAACTAAACGCCTAAATTTATGAAACATGTAAAGGCTCTTGAAGGTTAGATCTCTGAAAAATTTCAAAAATTTGACAAAGTAATTAATAAATCTAAACAAAATAAACGAGGATTCATCTAGTCAATTTTCAGCTCTATGTAAAAGGTTTATGATGTACTTTTTTAATAGTTTTTGTTTTCAGATGCAGCATTATGGTACAGTATTACTCACAACTATTTTTACACCCTACTAATATTATAAATGCGAAAGTTTGGATATCTGGATGTTTGTTAGTCTTTCACGCAAAAACTACTGAACGGATTTAGTTGAAATTTTACAGTATTATTGTTTATAACTCAAAATAACATATAGGCTATAATTGATATGTGACAAACTACATTTCACGCGGGTGAAGCCGCGGGCAATAGCTAGTTATGCATAATTATGAATACGATAAGGTGTCATCATGTATAACGAGACTTTAGACCTTACCTAATGTTCAAAGGAATCATTCTCATAGAGACCACCTTTCAGTGTTTTCAATTCTTTTCAATTTCCCATGCATGTGTGAAATATGCGAATTTCCCACCAATTAGTGCGTATCGCGCAACGTTCTATGTCAGATTGTTTGTCAGTCAGTTAGCCCATACGTTTGGACATATAGGGTGTCACGAAAAGTTGTTATAGGCTGATGCAAAATGCCTTAAGCTTATAACAAGTATCACTTGGAATTTGAGCCAGATTGTTAAAAAGGTTGACTGGCAGAGAATGCCAAATGTCATAAAAATTGCCTTTTTTACTCCGATATAGTGTGTAATTTTTTTTCTTTACAACAGTTTTTGTACAAAACTTATTTTCAGAATACTGTTTTTTAGCTTGTAAATATTTTTTATATTTTTAAAAAAAAAATATACAGTCACCCTGTATATCAGCCCACACATTGCCATACACATACACGTATATCACAAAAACAAAGCCCGTATTGTCCTATTGTTTGTATATTGCCTCTCGCACGACTACCGCCGTTTTGGTGTGCAATTGAGGACAAAAAAACTGAATTGAATGGACAAAAATAATTAAGATAGCTTGTTTCGCCGAAATTTGATTATACGCTGAAACTTTACAATTGTGATAATGAATAATTATTAACGTAATTGCAAATGTTAAGCGTTATAAATTTTTAATTGTTATTTGATATTTTTTTATAAAGAGCATTAATTTGCATAAAGATATTTCTATAAATTTTTAGTTTACAAGTTCTTACTGATAATATTTTCAATATAATTAAATCAACACAGTTTTCAGTTGACGGTCTTGTTAAACTGAGTAGGTATTTCAGATTGTCGGTATCCTTTTTCATCATCATCATCATCATTTCAGCCATAGGACGTCCACTGCTGAACATAGGCCTCCCCAATGCTTTCCACGTTGATCGATTGGTAGCGGCCTGCGTCCAGCGCTTTTTAAATATGTAGTATTTTACAGTATTTCCAAACTCGCCTTAACCTGACTTCAGAATCATTACTCAATCATCAAGATTACGCATCTACAACTCTCTTGTAGCGTGTAATATTTTTGTTTGGGTGCGAAATCTTTGCTCGCAAGTGTACAAGCTCGCATGTGTTTGAGAAAAGTTTTTAATTTTCATTTCGAAACTGGGCCAGTTTCATGGCCATTGCAACACTTTAGGGATGCCAGGGGTCTACTCCGCAGAGAGCATGTGATTAATTAATTTTTAGGGTTCCGTAGTCCTGACAAGGAACCCTTATTTTAGTATGCAAAAAACCCTGTCCAATATAAAAGAGGCTTGTTAAATTATGGTAATTTAAAAATGATTGAAATGTATTTTTAAGTTCGTAAGTGCGCCATATTTGATTATTTATCATAGTTTTTTTATGTCTTGAATGTGTAATGTTTTGTACCATTCAACTATCTTAGAATATAATTCAATGATCCTACAACTGATTTAATAAGTTCCGTTGTTCTTTATTAAAATGTCATTATGGATTAGAACCCAGAACTCAATGACATTCCGGTGAAATAATTTCGATGCATCGCCATAACTGGTGCTCTTACATCGCTACGTAAAGCTCATAGTTGAAATTCCTTACAGTTAAAACTTAAAATCGACCTTGATGTAATTAATTACTTTACGCCAATTACCAAATATTACAAGATGGGTCGATATACATCTATCAGTAATAAAATGGCCGATAAAAATTGTTTTTAGCGTTAATTGAAGCTTTTAAACCATTCTCACTTGATAGTAAAACACTTTATTACTTACTTTGAAGGTTCTTGATATACCAATAAAATGTTATATTCTGTTACTTACGATTCAATGTGTGAAAATAGCTTCATTGCTGACCCTGATTTTTTTAAAGCCTATCTATTACTTAATGAATTTAATATATTGATGTGGTGTACGAAATCCTAAAAGTACAGTTACAAAAATAAAATGGAATCAAATCACGTAAGGACTCGAAATATAAAAAAAAAAAACAGAAAAAAAACAGAAAAAAAACAAATATCCGATCCCTTTTTACCTAATGTTTTTCGAATTCATGTACTTAATGCTGCTGGAAGCTTGGACTCATGCCTGTTTTTACCATCAATCCCTAATTTTTAAGTGACCCCTATGGTAACACATAACAGGAATTTTGTTTTCATAGGGGTCACTTAAAAATTAGGGATTGATGGTGAAAACGGGCATCAGTTTATTTTTTTATACAATAAAAGATCCTCTTTCTTTTTCTTACTTCAAATAAGGTTTTATTAAACAGCGCCATCTGTATGCTTATTAACATAAACGACTACCATTATGTGTAACTCTAAGCACACTTAAGCGAAGGTTTTAGAAAGTAGCTCGCGTTGCTAAGCGTTGCTATTGTATAGTTCCAGCGATCGCCACCAGAGGGCTTCTGAACGTCAAATTTAGTAAGTTAATATTTTTACCCGACTGTGCGACGCAAAGGAGTGGTAATGTATTTATTAATTAGCTAGCTACCGCCCGCGACTTCGTACGCGTGGATCTCGTTTTACCCCCTTAGGGGTGGAGTTTCGTAAAATCCTTTGTTAGCGGATGTCTACGTCATAACATCTACCTGCATGCTAAATTTCAGCCCGATCCGTCCAGTGGTTTGGGCTGTGCGTTGATAGATCACTATGTCAGTCAGTCAGTCAGTCAGTCACCTTTGAGTTTTATATATTTAGATAAGTTAAGATCATCAGGCCATTTAGCCTCTACCGTTGTGTCAAATTAACTACATTAATTTTGATATTTATCCTCCAATTTGCAAAAAAATAACTTCTACACTAAAGTGCATTATAATTAAATACGCAAAATTGTATCTTAATTTTTCTAGATTTTATAATTTTTCCAGTTGAACGCGATAAAATTGTAGCATTTTTTTCAATATTAAGATATATGAAAAAGTTACCTTCATAAAATTAGAATAGGTGAGTATTGTCTTTAATTAAAAAATAAAACAATAAAATTTCGTAGTTTTAAACGTTTATTTCATTGAGGGGCGCTACAGTGACTACGATTCCTGTTACGAAAATCAGTAGCGCCTAAGCTGCTACGAGTTACTACGACTTTTCCTTGTGCTTGTGTTTTCATTTTTGATT